TCTGGAATGTGGAGAATGAATGTGCCACTAAAATGTCTGGCATGGAGACAATGGCCTAATCACAACATGGTTACCATGTTGTGCACAGCCAGTCTTAAAACCCTCTTCTACTAAAAAGCCAATAGGTGACTGTGTTCACCACCTTGTCTCGACCCACAAGATGATTCCTACCATCCCAGCTTTTCTTTGTCTTTCCTTGGGCAGACTTCTAAACAAAGTTCCCTGGAATGGTGGACCATCAAAAATTTGGGATTTGGGGCCTAGAGCATTCTTAGAAAGAAGTTGCTGGAGCACTGATTTCATAGTATGCCAGCTTCCTACGTTATTTTTAATTAAAAAGGCACTTTAATAGACATCGGATGAAACAAGAAATCTAGTGGAGATTCCTGAGAACATGAGCCAGAGAGTAGCTTTTAAGGTGTCCCATGCATCTGATGAGCTGAGCAACAGCTTACAATAACATTTCTTAGTCTGAAAAAGTGCAACCAAATTCTTTCTGATTTTGGGTTACTGTAGATTAACACGGCTCCCTCCTGATATAATATCACCAATATATTAACCTATTCTTCCCATAAGAGATGGGAGATTTATAAAACAAATGAATAGCCCTTTTCAACGAGGAAAATCTACTAAACAAAAATGCCCGCCATAACATCTGGAGGCACAGATCAAGAACAATCATCAATTGTCCCTTAGCATGTGTTAAACCATCAAAAGCTGACGGTTTTGATTGCTTCACTTGCTTGAGCCATGAAAACTGGCTTCATCTCTGCCCAGTCATTGACAGGTGGCATACAAGTTTAATAAATCATTATCATCATCATCATCATCATCATCATCATCGTCATCATCTCTCCTTTCTATAGCAATTGCCTATTGGCTTTTTAGTAGAAGCGGGTTTTATGACTGGCTGGGCACAGCATGGTAACCATGTTGTGATTAGGCCTTTCTTGCTTCCTAATTGAAAAAATAATGCAGCATGCCACCGATAGGAGAAGACAAAGTCTGGGATATGCAGCTCTGATCAACTTGATCCATTTCCGACTACCTCCGCTCCATCTTCTTTTCTATCTGCCACAGCGTAGGTTGACATCCCTTTTTTCTTTCCCAGACTGCCCACTTATCTCAGGATTTCATAAAACAATGTCTGTCTTCTACCTCTCCTTTTTAAAAATGTTTTGCAAGAAATGGCAGTCCTTTGATGTAAATTATAGCTGCACGTGTCACTTTCCACCAATCAGCCAAGACAGAGTGGGTGGGCACTCTCTCCATGGCAGTTTCAAGAGACAAGGAGCTATTCCTGAATTTCTCATTCTCAGTATCAACATGAGGATTCAGTGCCGTTGCAAAACCTGAATCTAAGAACATTTTGAGAACATTTGGATTTGGGGGAGGGGTTCATTGTGAAAGAAGAGACAAAACAGTTTTTTGACACCGATCTTTGGAGTAGGGATATTACCGATCGGAGCAGCAGCATTCTGGAGGGGGGCCCAAAAATGTCAACATGGGGGTCATGGCAGAATGAACAAAGCTTTACCCCTTCGTATATGCAGGCAATGTTGATATGCATACAAAAGGGGAAGGGTTTCAACTGTGCTGCCACAATTGCCATCTTGACTTTTTGGAACCCCTTCCCCTTGGCAGATGGTGCTGGATGGGAGACCAATATTTCCTTTTCTTCCTGTAGCTCCTCTTTTGACTACCATTTTAATTTTCCAATAACGGTGCAAGGATTCCTTCACAAAGCCAAAATGGAAGCCTTCAGTCACAGGGAACATGGAGGAATGCTGCACCTCCTCCCCCAACAGATAAATCATTCCCCTTTTACTGGTCTTCCAATGGGGTCCCCAACTGGAGGAGGACATGAATTTTGGCTTGGACCTACATATAATCTGTTCAGATTCCCAAGGATTCTTCTACTTGGCCAAGTAAGACAGTTGCCCAGATGGTACATCCTATGGGATGACAACCAGAAGATGGAGGAAAGACAGCTTATTCTCTGCCCCCTCCCCCAAATTTAGTATCCTGCCTTCTGGGAAGATGGAGACATTGTGTGTCACTTTCTGGACATCAACTGGAATGGAAAGACTGACCAATTTTATTCCATATAGTCAAGACTTAATGATATGTTTACAAATTGAGCTGTCTACAAGGAGACTGGGGGCACTGTTCTTCTGGGATGTCTCCCAACTAGTAGAATCATCTGCCATCACGGGCTAGGTTGGTGTCAATTCCGGCATCTTTGCAAAAAGCTCCTGAAACTGGGTTCTTCTGTAGGACCCTTGAAAGTAGAAGTAGTTCAATGTTGGGTTGGCCCTATCTGCTTTGGTTTAATGCTTCTTGCTTTTATAGTTTGATTCTTGCTTTTGGATGGTGCTGTTTTTAATGGAGTGGTTTTCAATGGGTTTTTAATGAAGATAAATTGCCACAAGCCATATGTTTTTGGTGACAGATAAATGAAATAAATAAACGAATAGGCTTTATTATATTTTTTGTTTTTCTTGTCTTTTGTTTTTCTTGTCTTTTCCTGTATACTGAAGAGATACAATTATTTAGAATTAAAAAGAAAAAAAATGGCTCAACATCAATATTGATGGCATCAACCGAGTCATCTGTGCAATCCATTCAATCATTAATGACAGAACCGTAGAAGATCCAGGATAAGAGGCTGTATGTCTCAGCAAATCTGTTGCTAGGAGACAAGAGAGGTTGCTAGGGAACCGTTGCTGGGATTATCAAAGGTTGGGCATCCTAAAACTCCAGGGTTCCTTGTGGCCCTTGAAATCCCATTTTTTGCAACTCCTGGAATGACCCAATTCCCACTGGGAAAAGCCAATGGCACACTGATCCAACTTTTTGAGGCTGATGGACATGTGAAAACTACAATGTAACTCTTAAATAGATTTTATATAATTAAAAAAAGGCAATGCCCCAAACTTCCTCAAAATCTTTGGAGAAACATCTTGATCCCAGCCATGCGTTTCCCTTAGCTCTGCACCCTTTGTGTCATTACCCCATGCACTGGAACTCTTGCCACTCCCAAACTCTTGAATGAAACCCTTCTGGCCATCCAAACGTTGCCCAATCTACAACAAAAGTTCATGCCTCCCTCACCACGTAGTCCCTAAAATACCAGTGTGTCTGAATCGCAACAGTCAGCATTCCCAGTTGAACTCAAGATGCTTGGATTTAGAGGTGGTTATAATTCAGCCATAGATTTCCTGTATGAAGTGCAGCAGCTTTCTCAGGGGTTCAAGAAGAAGACTTTCTCAATATGGGGAGGGCAGGGAAAGTATCTGGGTCCAGTGAAGGTTAGAAGAGCTATTGGTGAGTGATGACCCTCAGATTTTGAACCAGAACCAGGCAACCTGTGGACCTCTAGATATTCTTGAATTATACTTCCCAGCATTCCTCCCCATTAGCCATGCTTTCTACAGGTATGTGGAGTTGTAATTCAGCAATATCTGAAGGACTAGAGATTGTCTATTATGTAAGTCAGAGAACTGCCTCAGGTCCTAGGTTCTCTATCCCAATGGGAAGCATCTTTCCAAGACGGCCTGTATCCTCTTCAGGTGGAGATGCTGGAGTTCAGCCAGAGAATTCCTCCAGGTGGTATCCCACTGACTTTTAGATGTCCCCTTTTTTTCTACTTTAAAAAAAGTGTTTCTTGGAGCCATCAGGCTGAACACCTTTCTCTGTTCTTCTCTTCTCCCCTCCTCCCTGTTTTGAGGGCAAGGAGGAACAGAAAGGAAGAAAGTAACCTCTTTGACCCAGATTTAAGGACACTGTTGGTACTGTTTAAATTCATCTAGAACAAACAAGAGGAATGGTTTTCCTTGCCAGCAGATTTACTGTGCCAAACAGAAAGCAGCCTGTACTCTGGAGCATAACTAATACGTAGATGCATCTTGTGATGGTCCTAAGCAACACCCATGACTTGCATATTATGGGGTATGACCTTTCCTTAAAGATACACCATCAGCTATCTGGCAATCAGATTCTATTAAGCCTGAATGGAGGATATTAAAGGGCTTCCTGAACAATCCCTCAACAGTTTATGAATTGCTTTATGTCTCTGATAGTTAATAAACTCTGATTGTTAGACTGTGTTCTCTATGCACTGTATCAGGTCAGATGATTTGTTCAACCAGCTCAAGTGATGGGGACAATCTGAGGGCGTGCAACTCCAGAGCTGGGGCGGGGGCACAAAATTTAAAAAGCAAAATAGGTGACTTAAGTCTCTGTCAAGTTTAAGATATCTAGTACATCCCATAAACCTGAGAGCTTCCCTAATTTTTAATGTAATTATTGACTAAAGCTTCTATGTCTTTCTAACTGAAAACAATCCTGATTGATTTATATTCTTCATTCAAGTCAATAGGTTAAACTGCATTCACATTCTCAGCCAATGATAAAATGATAAAACAACTTCCTCATACATCGTATCACTCAATAATCAACAATCAACTGGTGCTACTTCTGCCCAAACCACACAACGTTCACCTATTTCCAAGATACTCCAGAAAAGCCAGGCCTTAATTGACTCCCAGCAGCAAAGTTCAGCCAGACCTCCTCTCCAGTGAAAGAAGGGTCTAAAAACCTTGGCCCCATCCACCTCAATGTTATTTTAACTACACTGTCCATGTTCCTTATGGACTCTGAACATGGTAGAAACAACAAGCGCAGACCCCAAGCTGAAAAATACTGCCCAACTCTATTCTAGCTTCAAACTGCTTACTCTTATTGGCAGTGATGTCTTCTCAATGTTTGGGCAGGCTTCTTCCTTAGGATCAGAACCCCTTCCCTTTTAGCAAGGGATGCCAGAGACTGAACCTGGAACATCATGATGTTGCACCAAACTGCTGCTCTGTTTATTTCTGAGGTTCCCTGAAGGACCTAGCTGCTCCCTCTTAGAGCACTGAGTTTAATGATGTATCTAATCCACCGCTGCCCCCGCCCTTTATTCTTTGCATTTGCTCAGCAGACAATTGGTCTTGTACCTGATAGGGTAGTCTGCAGCACTGAGGTTAATGAAGAAGTCCCACTGCCAGTCCTTCATCTCCAAGAGGTCTTGCATACTCTGCAGGTAGGTGGACAGCAGACTAGCTCCTCCCCAGATGGTTGCCATGCGCCAAGAGGTGACTCTCACATTTGGATATTGGCTTGCAAACTGGAGCACTTGCCGGTGTAAATAATTGGAGCGCTTTATGGGGAGGGGAAAAGGCAGAAAATGTTTAGTGAGAGGCAGTGACATCTAGCCATATGGGGCTGTTTCCAGACAACGGTGGTCCACAGCTTTCTGAACTGCGGAGGGGACAGTGAGACAGCCAGAATGGAAAGGCTGATCCATGGAAAAGAATTAGAGCTTAATCCTCTGGGTCCCCAGAAAAGTGTAGAACAGATATCTTGGAGTGAAGACCTATTTCCAGATGGCCCATTCAACTGGACCCATTCCAAAGCAAGCAAGGATTGGAGTAAACCTGGTTGAATTAAAAGGACCTACTTTCATAATTTCATTAGCAAATATGGTTAGGACTGATGCCTGTAACTGCTGCCCATGGGTGCAGTTCCATGGATAGTCAATTCACTCTAAAACAGTTCCCCCCCAACCTGATGCCCCCATGTGTACGGTGAGAGGACAACTCCCACAATTCCTGGTGGGCATAGCTTTTCCTGTCTTGCCCAACGAAAAGTAGAGTTATACAACATTCATAACTAAGTTTGCAGCTGCATATCCATTTGCAGAACACAATGTATGATGGGTATAAATGGAAACGACAGCAACATACAGAAAAAAGAAGAGGAAGGAATTAGAGAGGAACACTAGACCTTGATGAGCATGCAATGTATAGAAATATATATATAT